GAGTTCAGACGTGTGCTCTTCCGATCTAAAGTTAAATAATTTTAACTTAACTTAGTTACATTTTAGGCTCTTAACTTTTAACTTAATTTAGTTATATTTTATCGGTAACTATTAACTTTTGATCTAATTTTCTTAAAGATACATTTTTAGTACTTCTTGTAAACCCAAAATAAAATACATGACTAAGTTAGTGTAACTTTAAATTCAAATTTGAGAACACATCAAGGCAATTTTAATAATATAATAAATATAGTCTGACTGCGGGGAGAAATCACTGTTAGCGGACCTTCTGTGCATTAAATCACGTTGGAAGTTCTTCAAAATCGGTCCTCTTTTCGCGACTCGACAGAAATAAGTATAATAAATACATACTTTATTTAGAAACTTTATTTAGAAACCCTAAAATTATAAAATGAAAACATTTAACTTTAACTTTTCCATTACTTTTTTTTATTAACTTAACTTTTAACTCAATTAATTTTATTATAGACTAACTTGTATCTTAACTAAGTTAAATTATTAGACTGTTAACTTTAACTTAACTTAGTTAAAAAAAAATTAACTTACCCAACCCTGAATTTAACATACTCTCTACCTTGCGTAGGAGTCTGTCTAAACTTTTTGGTGTCTTATTTTTAGTATGTTGTAGACACATCCATTTAGTAAGGTACGTATTCATCCATTATTTTTGCGAAACAAGGTCTATAATCTATATAATTGTACTATTCCACATGAATTCTCAATATTCTGCGCACTTTATGTATTGATGTAAATATCATTTGTTTTCATTCTTCTTTCATCTTGTACATATATATATGTACTTATATCCCAAATGTAAATAATAGGATGGGAACTACGCTTCAGTCGCAAGTTAGAAACAATCGTGAATAGTGTTTCTTAAAACGTATGTTATGTTATATCACAAGTTTTTGAATTTAACACATAATTATACTGAATTGATTATGATCGATTGAAATATCACGATGTAACACAATCGTACATATAAATGCGCAGTCTCTTCTTATTCACTGCGGTGAAAAATATTACAAACTGGTAGAAAACGAATATGAAAAACATGCAACTTTAAACTCAGTGCATTAACAGGAACATGGTTTGCACGAGCAAATTTAGATTTACCAAAGATATGTCGTTTAATTTGTTATTTTATGTTATTGTTAAATTCTCCACGTCAATTATTTTTGGAAGCAGAATTATCAATTTCAAATATTATTTTAATAAGTAAAAGTTGTTAAAAAACAAATATAAGATTATACAAGTTGCCAAGTATTTGATTAGACACAGAGACAAAAATATTTTATTTTAAACTAAAAATATTTTTTTAATAAACCATTTAAACCAAAAAGTATATGCAGTTTAAAATCAAGCAAAAAGTTTAAATCAAAAAGGATATGCAGCAAAAGTTTAATTGTCTTTCCAAATAACTTTAAGTTTTATAAAACAGGCTTAAAGTGACTGATTGTAAAATGGTTTAGGAGAGATATAATGTACGATACTTTTTTATATATTTGGTGTAAATTTTTTTTAACAATTGGTATCTCGATAACTATTTGCAAAGAAAAAATGGTAGAGGACTTTTCGATTCAGTTTAGCTCACCTGCCCATGAACGCTTTATTATTGAGTATCGGACGCCCTGTATATTACGTTGTATTACATATTGTATTCTCGTTTATGCATTAGGTAAAATCCATCCATAATCTGCAAATGCACAGCGCCGTTTTCACTCGGACCATTACGCACCCGAATTTATTAGACACCCTCGAGGATATCATGGATACCAAGAACATATTGTTGCATCATACTAAGGCGCATATAAAGCCACCGGAGAAAGGTGCGCCTTACTTGATGCATCAAGACTATCATTACTTTCCCCACAAGAAACACACTATGCTTGCTGTGTTTTTACATTTGGACGATACAACACCGGAAAACGGTGGCTTGGCGGTATATCCCAGCAGTCATAAGCTTGGACCGTTGGAGGACCACGGATTGACCGATGAGAAAGGTGACCAATATCATTACGTCGATCCTGAGAAATATCCATTGTCCCAAGCTGTTCCTGTGTCTGCCAAAAAGGGTGACATTATCATCTTCTCTTATCTGTTGCTTCATGGTTCGTATCTGAACTTGTCCGACAGAAGTCGACGCATGTTTCTTATACAAGTGAGAGCCGCCGACGACGAGCC